ACCCACTGTGGAAAAGGGCTGACATTTTCTTAAAATAAGTGATCCTGTCCGTCTGGACTCAGTGTTCTCAAGCATGCAGAGTAACATCTCCTGTGGAAAGGGAGCTTGCACCTCAAGCACAATGGCACCGATGGAGTCTGGACCCTGAGGATGGAGTCTGGACCCTGAGGATAGCATGGAGGGGTGGCGAGTGCGGTAAAGGGGAGAGAGTGTGTTTTTCTGAAGTGCGCAGGGGCTACCAGACACTGTTCAATGGCTTCCATGCATGAAATTGAACCTGGTGCTCTTCACGCCTTCCGAATGTTCAAGAGAAATCGGAAAACCGTGTTTTTAGGTTGAAATCTCTTCAGCGCTCATCCGTCATGGGCGGGCGTGTAGACTGACACAACCCGTACAGTGGGCCACTTGGCATTCTCCACGCCAAATCTGAATGCCTGAACCGTGTGATCCAGAAACTCCACCTCAAGGAATGTACCGCACAGATGCGCTCACGCATGTGTGAAATAGCACGTGTATCCGGGATTTGATGGCAGATCGTTTCTTATAACAAAGGGTCGGGCGCAACCTCAGTCTCTATGAGGAGGGGACGAAGCATCCATAGAGTCGGATACTCCGAATCTATATGAAAAAGGAGTAAGTTGCTTAAGCACTGGTATGGGATGATCTCCGAGATTTATGTTTCATTTAATGGGTCCGTGTAGCTCAGCAGACACCAGTATACTCTCGCGATCCTTATGACAATCCCCGTTTCGGAGCTGAGGTAGCAGGCAGCTAAGTAGCTGGCCCAGAGTCCCACCGCCGCCGGCCGGTAAGTGGGTTCCATCCGTGCTTTTAACCGCCATGCTATGCTGGCGGTTAAAATTAAGTGGAAAATAGCAAGTCGAAGAAAAGTGGGTGCACAAATTACTATTCTGTTAAAAAAATGGGGGGCTGACGGTGCCATGTGTTTGGAATGATGCGTTCAAGAACGTGTAACAGATGTGGCTTCCAGGGAGGGTACGGGTGGTGTGGGACGGGGAAGGAAGGTGGGATTTCCACCGCACATTTCCCACGAGATTATTACATTCACTGAGTTACAATGTAACCACCACTTAAAATGTCCTACCGTTGGGGACTCAGACTACCAACTGGGTGGCTCAGTCTGTTAGGCATCTGCCTTCGGCTCAGGTCATGATCCCAGGGTCCTGGGATCAACTGAGCCCTGCGTCGGGGTCCCTGCTCAGCGGGAAGCCTGCTTCTCCCTCTCCCACTCCCACTGCTTGTGTTCCCTCTCTCACTCTCTCTCTGTCACATAAATAAATAAGAAAGAGGAAGAAAATGAAACTGAAAACAATATTGATGGCTTTGTCTTCCTGAGACTCTCTGGTGCCTGATGTCATGTTATAGACTTACTTCCGTGTGGGCACCCCCACATCTAAGACGGAATAAGCATCAAGGAAGGAGGCACTGTGGGTTTTTTCCTTCATCCCTAGAACAAAGCCTGGGGCTTAAAGTAGTTGTAGAATTAGTACATTAATAGAATCATCCAGGCTCATCATCTATTTAACCGAATAACTCTTTGTGAAATAAATTAGTGGTGTAATGAATGAATGAATGAATGAGTGAATGAGTTGGAGGACGGATAAGGTTTATACTACCAGCTCTTTCAGGGGCTTCGGGATTTCCAACACAGGCTGCAGAGACCTGTGCTGACCTGTTTTTCCCCTTCTGCAAATACCCTGTCTGAGGATGCATTTTAATTGCATAGAAGTCACAAGTAGACTGCTAATGGGGACCCCGGTCCCCAAAGGCTGACGCCCCTGCCCCCACCTTCCCAGCCTCAGGATCTGTCACCACCGCTACCATGGAAACCTCAGCCAGGCTGGCAAGAAGAGGGGGCTGCGTGAGGTCCAGGCTCAGGAGTTAGCCTGTGGGCATGAGCACGGTCAAATCCCAGTCTATAATCTAGGAGGGGCCCTGAGGGCTTGTGGAGGGGTCACTGAGAGGGGCCGCGGGCAGGTGGCTTCCCCCCCAGCCTGCACCCCCTCTCACTCTGCAGAGGAGCCTTGTGTTTGAGGCCGGTGGAGACCAGTTCAGGTGGCCCCAGCCTGGCAGGTCCTGGCAGGTGTTTCTCAGGGGGACCCCGGGCCTCCCTCTGCAGGTTCACCACCAAAGGGAGGTTTGCCCCACGTGCGGATCTGAGGGCTCCACCTTAGAAAAACACTTTCTAGAATCTCCCACTGACCTCACCCCAATTATTTTTCTCTCTCACGTCTCCAAATAACCTTCAGCTGCTGTCTTATTTTTTTGTTTGCTCCTACTGTGTGTTGTCCCTCTCTCCTGTTCAGGAGAAGTGTGTCCCTGCGAGTGGAGCCCCGTCTGTCTGAGTTACCTCCGGACTCCCCACCTTTGGGAGCACTTGGCACACAGCGGGCCTACAGTACATGTAACATCTAGGTGGTGGATAGATGCATGAATTTGTGCCTCTGTGTCACACCACACTCTCCTGGGGGTGATTGGACTGGAGCATATTTCTGGATTCTTCTGGCTTCCCGGGGAGGTATAAGTTATAATCCTGGCTCTCACCTCCTTTTTTTTTTTTTTTTAAGATTTTTATTTATTCATTTGACACACAGAGAGAGAGAGACAGAGAGAGCACAAGCAGGGGGAGGGGCAGAGGGAGAGGGAGAAGCAGGCTCCCGGCTGAGCAGAGAGCGCCGACGTGGGGCTCGATCCCAGGACCCTGGGATCATGACCTGAGCCGAAGGCAGATGCTTAACCGACTGAGCCACCCAGGCGCCCTCAAACCATAGCTATTTAATCCAATATATCCAAAATATTACATAATCACGTGTGATCAATATAAGACATTGTTAACGAGACATTTCACCCTCTTTCCCTCACACGTAATCTTCGAGGTCCAGTGCGTGTTTCACACTTCACGCCCCACGTCGCTCTGCTCTGGCCGCATCTCCAGGGCTCTGCGGTCACTTTGGCCCGGTGTCTGCCCAGGGACAGGCCGTTATCATGTGCTGTGAAAAGCGGGCAGCAGAGGGCGTCCGAGAATATTGTCGACGTGCTTTAAACCGATGCAAGTGGAAGGGAAGGCAGAGCCCGAGAAAGAAAAAGGCTTATGGCCATGGACCCCGTCCGGGCTCCGTGGAGGGAAGGAGGTGCAGAGAGGAGAAGAGCAGGGCTGGGTCTCCCCTTGCAGGGAGGCAGAAGCAGTTGAGAACAAAGATTTCACGCCCGATGACTTGGATCCAAATCTCTCCCCTCTGCCCACGCCTGTCCGTCCTACCGACCCCAGAGGTGTCCAGGGTCTCTGCCTGGGTCTCCCCACGGTCACCTCTGGCCTCCAACCCAGCCCCAGTGCCCCACTGGCGGCGAAGGCCACCTTGCTTGGACGCAAGTCTGACCATGGCCCCCCTTTGCCAAATGTCCAGGGGGGCTCCCTCCTGAAATCAGGGTGAAGTCCAAGCCGCTGATGGGGATCTAAAATGAATCTCCAGATCTGGCCCTTGCCAAGCCCTGCAGCCCCATCTGGGTAGCCCCACCACCTGGGCTCTGGCTGTCATAGGCCAACTTGTGTCTCCCCAAAACTGATGTGTTGGAATCCTAACTCTAGGACCTCAGGATGTCACTGTATTTGGAGACAGGGTCTTTTAAGAGGTGGTTAAATTAAAAATGAGGTGGTTGGGGTGGGCCCTAATCCAGTGTGGCTGGTGTCCTTATAAGAAAAGGAGATCAGGGGGCGCCTGGCTGGCTCAGTTGGAAGAGCATGTGACTCTTGCTCTCAGGGTAGTGAATTTGAACCCCATGTCGGGTGTAGAGATGACTTAAAAATAAAATCTTAAAAAAAAAGAAGAAGAAGAAGAGCTCAGGACACAGAAGGAAGACCATGTAAGGACATAGTGAGAAGGTGGCCGTGTCCAAGCCAAGGAGACAGGCTTCAGGGGAATCGTTAGGAGATAATTTCTGTCCCATAAGCCTCCCAGGCTGTGTGCTTTGTTCTGAAAGCCCTAGAAAACCCATACAGTCACTCCTTTGGGGAAAAAAAGTTACATTTAAAAAGCAAATTTATTTTTTTAAAGATTTTATGTATTTGACAGACAGAGAGCGAGCACAAGCAGGGGGAGGGGCAGAGGGAGAGGGAGAAGCAGGTTCCCAGCTGAGCAGGGAGCCCGATGCGGGGCTCAATCCCAGGACCCTGAGATCATGACCTGAGCCGAAGGCAGACGCTTAACTGACTGGGCCACCCAGGTGCCCCTAAAAAGCAAAAAATTAAAAACAATTTTTTAAAAGTAAAACTCCATTCTGGGAGCACTCCTGTATAATTGGTATGAAATCAATTGATTATTTAACATATTAGAAACTCTAAAAAAAAAAGCCAAAAAACCCAGATACCTCAAGTGAAATGTGAACTGTGGAGACCAACAGGAGAATCCTGACAAAAATGCAAACCCTGAAACGCATTTACCACTCTTCCTATTTAGTGAAAATCACCCGGCATGGGTTCCAAAGTCAGCTTCATGCAAGAAAGAGTCTTTCTCTTGAGGACACAGGTACTAAAATATTTATGGATGAAATGGTACCATGTCTGGGATTTGCTTTAAAAGAATCGCGGGTGGGGTGGCGGATACAGTAGGCTGGGGGTGGGGGTGTGAGCAGATCATCGTCGAAACCGTGAGTCTAAGAGGATTCATTATGCTCTTGTCGGCTTTTCCATGTTTTCAGGCTTTCCAACACATTGCCCCCCCACCCGCCACTTTTCGAACTCAAAGCTGGAATAACCTTCCTGAACTGCGCATCTGACCACTCCCCTTCCCCGCTTCAAACCCCACTCTCCTCCTTAAAAGAGTCAGAAAGAGGAGCTCTTTAATTGTACAGATTCATAATCTTTAATCTCAATCTTGCTGAAGTCCCTCCACGCCCGGGGCTTTGGACGCTCGTCGTTTCACGGGGCGACGGTGACATTCCGCTAAAGCCTCTGATGACACCTTCGGCCCCTCTGGCCTCAGGTTTCCCTCCCCGAGCAGCACAGTTCCCACTTTGCCTCCAGTACTCCTTTCACCGCAAAGTACCCCGTGTCAGAATTCTGAGCGAGAAACAGAACATCCCAGAAACCACGAGCGACGCACGCGAGCAAACCACCGAAGGGAGTCTGGATGCGGAAACTCCCAAGCCCGCAGCTCTGTGCGGCACCTGCAGCCTACGTGTGATTTGCATCTTGTGTTCTGTTTCTCTGGGTACGTTCAATGATGTCCACATCCCGACTCTCTGGGGGCCTCAGAAAACAAACACGTTCTCTATCTTTTGATGCCAACCAGTTCTATGATGCAAACCTTGGCGCTCCCGCGTCCCAGGGGCGGACATACCTGGCACGTTTGTCATGGGATCGGCTTTCCTTACGGCTAATCCCCCCGACAGCTGCGCTGGCCCCTGGGGCACAGCAAGCTGCCTCTGACCAGCGCACGGTCTCCACTGAAGGCGGCTGAGGGCAGCACCTGATCGCCCACAACCCCCGGCAGCTGCTGCCGAGCCGCTGTTTCTAACCTCGAGCGCTGTGAAATTTGTCACAGATGGTCGTGGCCTCCAGACAACCCCGTCGCCTGGTTCGGATAGGCTGTCCTGTGGAAAGGCAGGAGTCTGGGGCATCACCAAGTGCCCCGCAACCTGCCCTGTACTGAACCGTCCCGCCCCCCTCGGTGGTTTTACAGCACACGCCTGGGTTTTCCTACAATTGGGGATGGAGTTCAGGTGGTGAGGACTCCAGATGAAGCCGCTGTGGGGCAGAAAGGGCAGAGCAGAACAGAAGATGCTGGAGCGAAACATAAAAAAAGAAACAAGATCCAGGCCGAGTTCCCAGGACTCCGGCATTGAGAATGCCTCGTGAGTCCTTTGAGAGCAGATTTTCTCCCTTCTGTGTGTTCTTCCAGCCCCCACGCCCCAGTCACCATTCACCTTAGTGTCCCATCCACGTCCGAACGTCCGTGTGCCATGTTGGAAACACTTGTGAGGAGTTCACCAGCACAGGGACTCCTGGGCGGCTCAGTGGGTGAAGCGTCTGCTTTGGGCTCGGGTCGTGATCCTGGGGTCCTGGGATCGAGCCCCATGTCGGGCTCCCTGCTCAGTGGGAAGCTTGCTTCTCCCTCTCCCTCTCCCCTTGCTTGTGCTCTCTCTGTGTTGAATAAATAAATAAAATCTTAAAAAAAAAAAAAAGGAATTCAACAGCACAGACTCACACCCGCTGATTTTCGGGGCCTCCATGTCTTCTCGGGGTCCCCACCTCCAGAGCCACGTGAGGAACTGGAGGGGTGGTGCTCCACATACAGCTGATCGTGGTGGGTCTCAAAGTGTGCGAGAGAGTGTGACTGGCTGCGTATGAGCACACGAGGGATTGTGTTGTGTGTGTGTTGCGTTTGTGGGGTGGTGAGTGGGGGTTTGGGGGGATGAACAGGAGGAGCAAGGAGGACTTTTAGGGCAGTGAAAATACTCTGTGTGATACTATGAGGTTGGATACATGTCACCACACATCCGCCCAAACCCACAGTGTGCACGGAGCACCCTGAGCGAACACTATGGACTCCGGGCGACCATGGCGTGTTGATACCAGCTCATCAGTGGTGACAAATGTACCCTCGGTGGGGGATGTTGATAGTGGGGAGGCCTTGCCGGAGTGGGGGTGGGGGTGCACAGGATATCTCTGTACCTTCCCCTTAATTTTACTCTGAACCCGAAACTGCTCTCAAAAAATGAAGTTTTTTAAAAAATATATATGTATATATATTTTTAAGATTTATTTACTTGACAGAGAGAGAGTGAGCACAAGCAGGGGGAGCAGCAGAGTTGGAGGGAGAAGCAGGCTTCCTGCCGAGCAGGGAGCCCAATGCGGGACTCGATCCCAGGACCCTGGGATCATGACCTGAGCCGAAGGCAGACGCTTAACGACTGAGCCATCCAGGCGCCCCTATTTCTTTAAAGGAAACACAGTAGAAATGAAACTGTGAATAAGTGTGGCTAAGCCAGTGGTTCTCAACCAGGGGTGACTTCACCCGCGACAAGATGACTGGAAGTGCCTGGAAACAGTGCTGGTTGTCATGACATAGGTGAAGGGCAGACTGCTGACACCCGGGGGCGCTGAGACCCGCACATTGCACAGGACGCCCCCGCCACAAACGGTTCTCCCGGCCTGGGGCCTCGGTGCTGAGCGGGGAACCGCTGGGCCAGATGCTACTGCTTACCCAGGCTCTGCACAGAGCTCGCCTTTGTTTAGAAAGCAATCAGCAAGTGCCGTGGAGGGTGCTGAGGGTGCACCAGCACCTCACAGAAACCTCCTCTGGAACGAAATGGAAAGAGTCCACGAGGGAATAGCGTTTTTACGGTGAAAGTCGGTTACCTTTAAAGCCGAACCGTGAAATGACACCACAACAGTGCTGTCTGCCCCACATTCCGGGAAACCCTGGGCGGGGAACGGAAGACAGCTGAGAATGTGTAGTACGGAGTCAGGTGCAACCACCCTTGCCGAAGGTGACGGCGGCACAGGCACCGGGGGCAGTGGCCAGGGGTTAGACGTTCCTAGACAGTGGGGGATGACGAATCAGCAGGACCCGTGGACGGATGAACGTGGACTTCGAGGAAAGGCCGGAAGGAAGATTTAATCCTGACTCCCATGAGATGGACGAGGCTGGGGCACGGACAGGATGGTTGGGAGGTTGCTGCGGCCGTTCAGGCCAGACGTGATGGCAGAGAGGACAAAGGTGCTGGGGAAGGAGGAGAGATCTGAGAGCCATTTAGTCGACGGGGAAGGATGTGGAGCGACCGGGGGCACAAGGGAGATGTCCGTCCGCGGTGCAAGAGTCAAGATAACATTTGAATGTGGTATTTTTTTTTAGGTAAAACATTATGCAGAAATAACCCACGATGAGCCCAACACCTAAATTCTTGCTCAAGATGGGCTCTGATGCTACACTTCGTGTGACTCACCTCCCTCACCTCACCCTGATCCTGATCGCATCAGATCCTCTTTAGTTAAAATGTTATTTTGTTCACTGTTGATTTTTTTGCATTAATTTTGAAACTGTAAAGAAATGTTGCATTGAAATGTTGTTCCTCTTGGTTACTGAAATGTTTGTGCCCCGCTCAAACCCACTCTTCGATTTTGCACCCGAGCTGACAGCCTACCCTGCTTCACCCCAGCCCTGACCCTGGTGAATGGGACAGATGCGAGAAACACTCCAGTGAGAAGCTGTTAGAAGTTTCACACGAGGCTAAGTGGCCCAGACGGACCCTCAGCGCTCCAGAATCCCATGGAATTTCCACTGAGCTAACGGCCAGGCCGGATACCAGCAGCACATATGTCCATGTGACCAAGCACAGGAATGGCTCTCTTGGACCCAGCTCGGCACAGACAGCATAGTGGAGACACCCCTTTCCAAAACACGAGAAAAGGAGTAATACTAACCATCTGTTTGGCAAACTGTTATCATCACATTCTCTTTCGAACCAGTTTTTCCCTCTGCAATCTGAGAACTGCTCATTTCGCAATGTTATTTTCAAAGGAAGTAGCTTTCTGTCCCGGGGACCCTTCACGGTGTCTTGAAGCCAGTTGGTGTCAATTAAATGCTTATTGAACGATTTCCAGCGATACAGGTATGGGAGCAAGGAGAGCTTCCATTCGTGTGGGAGCCTCAGTGTGTGCATGTTCACGTGTGTGTGTGCACGCGTGTGCCTCTAGGCACACGGTTACGGACACATGGAGGAAAGGCTTGGTTGGGATGAGTTCAGGTAGCATTTCCATGTGCAGAAGTATTCCAGGCCCCGGGCCACATGCTTTAGGAAGGAGTCCAATCATTTCATTCTCAGGACCTCATAGGGAAGGCACTATCCTCACCCCTACTTTATAGTTGAATAGCTTGGGATCAGAGAGGTTCTGACACCAGCCAGAAGGAGCAGAGCCAGGCTGTGGACCAGGTCCTAGTGACACCAAGCTGGTCCCCATAATGAACTGCGTTGCTCGATGGCCCCAAAATGTGTGTTCTAGCTCAAGACCTGCAGCCATTGCGAGGTCTGTGGCCACGACCACGGGACCTTTCGGCTCCCCTTCCCTGGGGCTGTGGTCCTCGGGCCCCGCCAGTGCCAGCAAGCATTCGATACACATTGGTGGAGTAGCCAATGGAAGGTGTGTTCACATCCTGCTCAACAAATCACCACTGCCCCACAGCTTAGAGCAGCACAAATTTGTTACCTCATGGTTTTTCTGGTCAGGAATTCAGGTTTGGGTTAGTAGGAGTGTGTCTTTCTGGTGTCCTCTGCTTTCGTTTAAAGGCCCACCTGATTAGGTCAGGCCCACTCAGGGGATCTCCCTTCTGCCATGGAACATAACACAATCACAGGAGCAAGATCTCAAAGCCACACCCAGGAGGATTACACAGGGTGTGGACACAGTGAGTGTGAGTCTTGGGGACATCCTAGAATCCACAGAATGAGAGTGATTTATGGGCCAAGCTAAGCTTTACTCTGTAGATGGTGGGGATCTGCTCTGAGTGTTTAAGTAAAGGATGCTCAGAGTCAGATCAACTGTTGTTGTTGACATTTATGTTTTGGAAAACCACGCTGAAGATTAGACTAGAAAAGAGGAATATGGCGGCCATGAGACGCCAAAGGGAGCTGCTACAGGAATCCTGGGTGTGGGAAGAGAGGATGATGAGACTCAGCAGGAAGGAAGTGGCCACAGCATCATGTTTCCCACGACAAGCGTTGAGTGAGCACCAGCTACTCATCAGCCACCATGCTGGCCACCATGCAGGGGCACAGAGGGAAAGTACAGATATGGTCCTGCCCTCACAGGAGTTACCTCTTAGCAAGGGAGGTGGGTGTTGTGATGGCCAACTTGTCTGGGCCATGGTGCCTGAACATCTGCTCAAACGTTATTCTGAGCGTTTCTTTGTATGAGATTAGTGTTTAAATTTGTGGTCTTTGAGTCAAACACATTGCTCTCCCTAGTGTGGGTGGGCCTTATCCAATCAATCAAAGGCATGAACAGAACGAAGACTAACCTTCCCCAAGCAAGAGAGGATTCTGCAAGTGGATGATCTTCAGACTTGAACTGTAGCATGAGCTTTACCTTTGGTCTTCAGCCCGCTGGCCCCCCCAACCCCCCCAGAGTTTGGACCTGCCAGACTCTGTAATCATGTGATCACTTTGTTTCTCTGGGGAACTCTGACTAATACAGACATGTATCAGAAAAAATGACAGCCCATGGTAAGCATTCATAGAGGAAAGGTGCCCAGGGCTGTGAGAGCTTATGGCAGGATGGTCTGTCTTGGAGAAATCAAGGAGGGCTTTCCTGGGGAAATGACGCTGGAGCTGATATCTGATGTGATCAGGTGTGGGCATGGGGAAGAACATTCTACGCAGGGGAGCAGCATGTGCAAATGCACCATGGCAGGATGGAATATGGAGCCTTTAGTAAACCAGTTACACTCCAGAGTGCCTG